TCATTGATCCCTGATTATTTTTTTTTTTTTTAGTCTTTGTGTTTCACTGAGCACATAGCACAGGAAGGTATTGACAGTATCCAGCTGGGTCAGTTCAGGTAAACTGGCTGCCCCATTTAGACAAAAGAGAAGCTGGCTTCTCCAGTGGCCATAGCAGATGGTCAGTGCCTCCTTCACCTGCCCTCCAAGGGGGCTGTGCACCCCTCTGAGGTCAGAATGTCCCTCACAGTCACAGGCATGTGTGACACTGATGGGGAGGCAAACGTGGCAGTCAGGTGCCTTTTCCCCACTCCTGCCTCATGTCAGCTGGAGGACTTTGGCCTCTGTGCTGCCTCTGGGATGGCACTTGGATTTGTTTTGAGCAACTCAGACATCTTTTAAGTCAGCAACTGTGAAGTTTAACTAAAAAAAACAACCCCTTGTGACCCTTGTTGTGGTTGCAGAGACGATGGCACGGACCAGTGCCTGTGGTACTGCTGGGGCACAGGAGGTAACCTGGGACCAGCTGCCCCAGCAGCCTGTCTTTAAGCAGCTGGAAATAGATGGAGTGTGAACCCTGCTGGTGGTTCACTTTGGGGCCTGCCCAGGGAAGCTCCCTGCCAGGGTTTGCTGAGTGGGCCCCACCAGTGAGCCTGGGAAGCCCCCAGCCCTGGTGGCTGCCACAACAGCCCTGCAGTCTGTGCTGCTGTCAGCCTGCAGCCCCCTCTGCACCCCTCAGCTGAACACAAGTGCTCATCACCTCATTTCTGCTACATAAAACACTGGCCAAGTTCACCACAGGCTTGCTGAGGTTGCCACAGTTTGTGGGAGGAGTAAAGTAAACGTGCCTGCCTAAACAAAGCACGTTTGTGAGGGGGCAGCACATGCAAACCCCAGCTTCTGGCACCCTGAAGAAGCAGAGGGTTTGGTGCTGGAGCAGAGTTTGCAGCTGGGAGATTGCATTGAATTTATACTATACTTTGTTCTCAAAGTGCTGCTTTTAGCAAACCCTACCCTCAGCTGACAGTTTTTAAGCAGCTTCAGGTAGTGGCTCACTCTTTTGGATTAAGCAATGCTTCATGCCATTTGTCATTTGTTTTTAAGTAAGCAACTTGTGCCTGCTTGCTCACACTGCCAGGGCAGCTCCCTGGAGAGCATTTTGCTCTAAATGCATAACCAGTTCTCTGGCTTGGGCAGTGATGTTTGCACAGCTGTAAAAACCAACCCAGAACCCCAGGGTGTATTCCTGTGCCTCCTGTTATGTTTGGGATCCCTCAGTCAGATTTTAAATGATAGTGAAAAGACAAGTTCTTGCTTTGAGGATTTGTTATCAGTAGTCCTGCAGGTGCTTCCCATTAGACTTGTTCAAGATTAGAGACAGTGCTTGTCCAGGTTTCTGTTGTGGTTTTGTTGTTCTTTTTAATACCTCTCCCAACACACAGAAGATGTTTAAAACCCAACTGTTGTTGGTCATTGTTGCAGCTCAGTAATGGTGGGTAGAATTTTGTGGTGTTGGAGCAATGATGGGGGGTTGTGCAGGGAGAGAGGGAGACCCCAGGCTTCACCCAGTTGAAGTCATCTGAATGTAACTAAAATGTCCTTTTTCTCAGTTTTTATTGGCAGAGCTGAACACGTTTTACTTGAAGTTTGTCCTCTGGATGCCACCAGAACACTACCTGGTCCTGCTACGCCTGGTCTTTTTTGTCAACGTGGGAGGTGTGGCCATGAGGGAGATCTACGACTTCATGGACGACCCGTAAGCCAGTCCTCTGTGTAATACCTGTCAGGCTTCACCTGCTTTGTTCTGAGTTTGCTCCAGCTTGTTGGCATCCATCTCAGGGCAGTTGTTCAGCTGGTCAGGGTCAAAAAGATTACCCAAAGCATCTGCTTTGTGTTCTTCTGTTTAGGAGGTAAAATTCTGAGTACATCTGGTTAGAGAGCAGCTGGTGCTCAGGGCGTTCCATGTGCACTGGTTTAACCTCAGTTGTTGATAAATGATCACTCTTTTGAGACTGTAACATGTAAATGAGCTGGCATGGCACGGGCTGGTGGGCAGGGGAGCACTGAGCTCCACTTTCAGGTTGATAGCCAGGAACTACAGTCCTTAGAAGGGCTTTCTAAGGACAGCAGGGCCCAAACTAAAGAAAAAAAACCTGAATGTTTCTTAAAGGCACTTCTTTTCTTGTGCATCTTCCAGCTGGGCCTGGTCCTCTGGAGCTCTCCTGGCAGCCTCTTGCAGGTCAGGGGACCCTTGGTAGCAAAGTGTATTGAAGGGGAAGGGCACTCACACAGAGCAGTGCATGTACTGTCAGACTGTTCCTACCTAAGCATCATATTTGTCCTTGCTGCTTTTGTTTCTGCAGACCATGCAAGACCTGAGAAAGCTTTTGTTCTCAAAGTCACATTTTCTGTTAAGTTTTAGTAGCAACGTCACCAATTGCCTGAGCTCACATCTTCAGTCTAAGGCAACATCTGGCTTCAGGGGATGTTCATTGTCTGTCACTGACCAACGCAAAAAGTGTCTGTGTTCAGAATTTAGGGCTCCAACATTCTGTGAAGATCAGTTCCCCTTGCAAGGGGCTCCTAGAGCTGGGAAGAAGGGCCACCCCACATTGCTTAGTCGGAGCTCAGGACATTCAGCAGTGGCAGGCACCTGCCTCTGGTGTTGGACCTACTGGTTTGGGACGTGCCTCCAACTCAAAGGTAAGAAGAGGTCTCTGCCTCTCACTGGTGAGCTCCTCTCCTTAGCACCATGCACAACCTTCTGGTCCTTGTGTTTGGGTTGGACAAAGTCCTCTGCCCTTGGTTCAACCACATGGCATTAACATTGAAGTGTAGGAGATCATCAGTCACTGGTGCTTCATTGCTGAGTCAGTCGTTGCCATTCTCAGTCTGCTGCAGAAGTTCATCCAGCAAGCAGAGACTCATCCTGAACTGCATGTCCTCACCATTGCCACTGCCACCTGCTTCTCTGTGTCTCTTGGTGGGGAGGTGACTGGCCCCTCACTTCTGAGGCTCGTGGCTCTGCTTGATGCACCACAGAGCTGACCTCTTCAGACTGGTGATGCAAATGGCAGAACCTGACTTCTGGTCTTACCTCAGATCTTCTCTGAAGGCTTTTACAACTGGACTTGGACTCCTTGGTGCATTTCAGGTCATCCAAGCAGAGAGAATCTGCCCCTGTTTTAGCAGCCCAGCCGGGTGTGTTTTCACGGTGCATCACTTTGAACTGAGGAACCATTTAGGATATTTCCTGTTGTGTTGTAGGGAGAAGCTGCTGAGGAAGAACAGGCTGTACCTGGGGATCCAACAGCACATGAGAAACCTTCCTGGCCTTTTTCTTTTGGACACTCACTCAACTTCTTAATGAACAAAGGTTGGAATATTCCATTGACCCTCCTTGCCAGAAACATGGCTCGTTGCCTGTTCTGGTGGTGACAGGATTGTCTGAGATGAACTGATTAGATCCCTTCCCCTAACCTTGCAATATTGAGTCTAGAAAGTGCTGCAGTTCAGACATGAAGACTCTCCTTACTCAGGATTCCTAGTATCTGCAGACAGTTCTAGGGCTTTGCTTGCAAGAGCTTGGTCTGAACATGGGGACAAGAAAGTATCTAGAGCTGACATCACCCAAGAAGAGGGGTGGTGCTTGAAGCTGATCTCCAGTTGTTACCTACCACACTCCTGTTGTGATCCCTGTGCTGCCCGTGAGCTCTGGAGGACTGGCTGTGTGGAATGGTCCTGACCAGAAATACCTTCATCCAAGAGTCTGGAGCATCTGACCTTGTCTTATCTTCCTGGTTTCTAGTCTTCAAGTCTCTTCCAAGGAAGCTGCATTGAGGCCATGAGTTTTAATCTCATTCATGCAATTAAAAAAGCCAAAACAAACCAACATTTCTTTAAAACCTTTTGTGGCCAGAAGGGCAGGAAACCACCTCTCTTCCTTGGCTGGTTTAGGTTCTGCACAGCTCTTCTGCTGGGATTACCTGGAGTTCTTCTGTCAGTGCTGCCCTGAGCCAGGGGAGGAAAGCGCCGGGCAGTGAGGAGGCAAATCAGCAAGGCAAAGCTGACCTGGTCATCTGAGCAGCCTGAGCTCACAGGGAGGGATCTGCTGTTGCTTTTCTTCTCTCTGCCCATGTGTCAGGGTTAGTTTCTGCCCATTTAATCAGTCACACCATGAACCACCCGGAGCAGTGTCTGAAGTCCTTTCATCTGAGTTGGTCTAGGCAGGATGCTTCTTAAAATGGAATGCACCCATACCATCTGCATCAGCAACAACCTGCACTGGGTTTTCTGCATCACATTTTATTCCAGTGTATTTGGTTGATTTTGTGACGTCTGAACTTAAGCTTTGGTGTAAAATGTGACTCTGGGGCCTCATGTTTACACACTGTGTGTGTGCTCAGCTTGCAATGCCTGCCCTGGATTCAGGAGGGGGAAGAGAAGCTCTAGTTGCAATCTGTGCTTTGATCCCTTCCCAGATACTGGGAACCTGTGGGATGCAGTGGGGCAGGTATGTCTGAGCAAAAGGAAAGCACCTGCTGAAGGAGGGGTCCTCTCCCAGTGCAGCCACTGGCAGCTGGTGAGAAGAGGGAAGGAGAAACTGGGAGGAGCAGATGTGCAGTCCCAGCTCCCAGTGCCCAGCACTGCTGGAGGTGCCTGGGGCCTGCTGGCCAGTGCTCCAGCTGGAGGGAGGCACCAGAGTGTCAGGCACTTCCCAAGGAAATCCTAGTCAGGGATTTGTTAGGTGGCTTTTTGGGTTTTTTTTGTCGACTCCAGGGCAAAACCAGCCAGGAGATCTGGCCCCAGGAGCTGGGGTGACTGCTGCAAATTCAGCATTACCTGGCCAGTGCTCCAGCTGGAGGGAGGCACCAGAGTGTCAGGCACTTCCCAAGGAAATCCTAGTCAGGGATTTGTTAGGTGGCTTTTTGGGTTTTTTTGTCGACTCCAGGGCAAAACCAGCCAGGAGATCTGGCCCCAGGAGCTGGGGTGGCTGCTGCAAATCTCAGCATTACTGAGTCAGACCCTGGGGCAGATGCACTCCCAGCAGCCACAGGCCAGAATCCCCCGTCGTGCAGAGCCCCAGCAGCTCTGCAGGGGTCACCTCCCCAGCTCCAGCCCTCCCTGGGCTCCTGGTACCCCTTTGCTCCCCATCTCTGTCCTGCCTCAGTAGTTCTGCCACTTCACACTGAGCTCTGCCTGGGTGTGTTTCACTTCATCTTCCTCCAGGTAGGAGCAGAATAGCAGGGCCAGCTGGGCAAAAGAGAAGGGGGGGCTGGTGGGAAGAATGTTCTTTACAATACTCTGTAGTGAAGTGAGAGGACAGAATAGCTGCTCTCTGGGATTAAAGCAGAGATGTAAGGAGCACAAGCTAAAAGTTGCACCAAAGTGCTGCCTGGTCTGGTCTTTAAGTAGAAGATGCAACCCAAAGGCTGGTGAGGGAAGGTACCTATGGGAGCTGCTGGGGAGACAGGTGGTGATTATGGTGATTGAGGGTTTTGCTGTTCTCAGGTTTGGTCTTCCTTGGTTAAAATCAGTTGGACTTTAGGAAACATTAAATTCATGCCTTTGGGGGAAAAGAAAACATACAACTTCTAGTAGCTTTCTCTTGTTTTTTTCCTCTAATGGGAAGAAAATCCCATTTAACATTCAGAAGATGGGTGATGGAGGAACACAAATTTCATCTGTCAAGTGGTCAGTGGTGGACCTGGCTGTGCAGCTGTGGGCAGGGCTGCAGTGCCAGCCAAGGTGCCATCAAAAAAGGGCTTGTTCTGTTGCCCAAACAGCATCCCGTGGGATTACTGACATATGAGTGATCTGGTCTGTCAGGTGAGGAAGCTGTAAAAATGTCAGGAAGAGGCCAGGTCAGGAAGTGGAGGACCTGGCATGAAGCAGCTCCCCCAGGTTTCTCATGTGAGGACAGAGAGGCTGCTGGAAAGGCAGCCTGTAGGTATTTGGGGGTTATGTGTTTTCCATGCAGGAACAGGTGACCCAAAAGATGGTGTCTTTCCATCTCCCCTTCTGCAAGCAGAGCCTCTGAGTTGATGTCTTGATTCTACTGCAGTTTAATATGTAGTGTTACTGATTGATGAGTCCTTCACTAGACCCACACAGGGCACTGCAGCCTCTCAGGGGCTTCCCTGGTACTGCTTGAAAACAAACCCTGGGCATTACATTTTAATCACATATTTGCCCCAGGGTTGTGTTGTCCTAGAAGTGAAATGTTGTCCCTGCATCTTCCATTATCCTGCTGGGTTTTTATTAAGCTTTCTTCCCCTAAGATCCCTTCAGAGATTATTAGTGACAGCTCATCAAATACCTTTTGGGGAACAGTGATTTTCAGAGCCCCTCACAGAGGGGTTCAGTGTGGTTACTGCAGCAGGGCTTGACATTTGCTGAGGATATCCAGGAGCAGAGCTCCTGTGCCCTGAACCTTAGCTGATCTCCAGCTGGTCAGATAATTGCTCTGTGTGGATTTACCAGTGCCCTGAGAACGAGGGCACTGCCTTGCATCACAGGATGGGGAAGTTCAACTTCTCAGGTGTTCTCAGAGCCTCTGAGAGGAAACCTAAGTAATACCAAGAGGAAAGTTGTCAGCCTGTGTAGCCTTAGTACCTGTGTAATCCAGACTGCTTTTAGAGTGGTGCAAAGCTGACTGCAGCTCTTCCCCAGCTGTGCTTTTATTCATATTTCTGAGCACAGTTGGTTCTGCAGCCCTAGCTCTGTTTCATCTGTGTGTCTGTTCTGCAGGAGGTTCCATAAGAAGCTGGGGCAGCAGGCATGGCTGGTGGCTGCCATCACTGCCACGGAGTTCCTGATCGTGGTGAAGTACGATCCCCACACACTCACCCTTTCCCTTCCCTTCTACATCACCCAGTGCTGGATCCTGGGAATCATCCTGGTGCTCACCTGGACAGCCTGGCGCTTCTTCATCCGGTGAGCAGGGCTGGGCTGGCTTGCTCTGGTTGTCCCTTCAACACTTGGGTCTTCATAGGATCACGGAATCCCAGACTGGTTTGGGTTGGTGGGACCTTAAAGCCCATCCAGTCCCACTCCCTGCCATGGGCAGGGACAATTCCCTCTAGACCAAGCTGCTCAGAGCCCCATCCAGCCTGGCTGTGAACACTTGCAGGGAGGAGGTGTCCATGGCTGTGCTGTCAGTAGGTGTCAGTGCCTCCTGAGGACAGGTCACTGCTCTTTGGAATGGCTTGAGCTGCAGGGCTTTTCTGTAAGAACCGTAAGGAATTCACAGGGAGTTTTCTGTGCCCCATCCTGGCAGTTTTTCTTCTTGGCTCGGGCACACGTGTCGAGTGGATAAAACCATCAACAACTTTGGAAATACACAAGAAAATCAAGTGGGTTAAGCTATCCCAAGGGCACTTGCATCCAGAGCAGACTGGCCTTGCTGGTTTTGTTGTTTGCTGCAGCTGCTTAGCCCATCCCTGATTCCCATCCGTGTGTTTCCCTCTCCAGGGACATCACTCTGCGCTACAAGGAGATCCGGCGGCAGAAGCAGGAGCACAAGCACGAGAAGGACAAATGCCTGAGCAATGGTGATGGACACTCCTCAGTGCTGGAGGAACAAAACAGGAACAAACTGAGGGAAAAGAAACTTTGAGCAACAGACAAAGGGCTAAAAGGAACTGATAGTGCTCAAGTCGGCCTGGTGGACAGTTCCAACCTTACCCTACCTAACTTGTAACTTTCATTGTTAGCTTTCCAACGCGGGAGAGCCCCCTGGGGGAAAAGGGGTCGTTCTGACACACACACCCTTCCTCCTCCTGTCCCAGTGAGAGCTGGAGGAAGGCTGTGTAGAGGGAAGTCAGAGCCACCTCCCTTGCAACGAGATGGGCTCTTCGTTCAGACGTGTTGTTTGTCTTCCTTGAAACCAGGTTTGGAGACAAGGGGCTTTAAAACAAAGTGCAAAGGAAACCTAGCTGATCTATTTCCAGTAAACTGTGAGATTTTGGTGTTGACCTTTGGGCATTAGGAACACTTGTTTTGGAGTGTGCAGGTACCTGGCACAGGAAGTGAATTGATTTTATCTGCTCAAGCTTCCTTGAACTGTGGAGCCAGGTCATGTAAAGTGTCCAGCCACTGGTAACAAACTGCAGCGAGACAAATGTAGAGAAACTGAAGCTTGTGAACAAGTTGCACAACTTGCACAGAATGTAACACAGGACACTACTGTTACACCCTCTGCTGGGGGTGATTGCCTTTCCCTGAGCTGACTTCCAACATCCTGGAATAGCCTACAATAGTTCCCTGTTGTATCGCAGCTCTGGGGAGACACAACTGCTCCTTGGTTCTTTTATTTCTCTTTTAGTCTTGGTCATCTCTCTGAGGGTAGGTTCAGGGAGGTCAGACCTGCCCTCCCTCTGCTCCAGGGAGTACAACCCATCACAGCAGGAAGCAGGGGGTTACTCCAGTGGGCTTCAGTTATTTGCCTTATTCTCAGCTCTTTCAGTTTGCTTTCCAGCAGGGTCTCATTCCTGGTGCTGCTGCACAGGGCACGTCTGGTTCTGCCACCCCAGGTGGCTCCAGGGAGCCCAGGAGCTGTTCCTGCTGCTGCTCCTCCTGTGCTGTCCCTGCCAGCAGAGCAGCCTGAGTGCAGCAAAGTGCAGCTTCTTCCCCAGGTCTGCAGGCCAAGCCAGGCAGCGTTTTTTGCTGGTGACTCAGCATCTAGGAAAAGCAATTGGAAGCCTGGGCTGCGTGGTTGTTTTATTTCCAGGTCATTATTCCAAAATGCCAGTGCTCCTCTCAGCAGCAGGTCTGTGACCCCTGCTCTGGGCACTGACGTGGCCTTCACCATCACTCCTGACTCTGTCATCTGCTCTGGCTGCTCGAGGGGGGTATTTTTCAGGGAAGTGTTTATCCAGAAGAACATGACATAAACAGCACTGGTGAAAGTTCAGGAGTGCAACCCCAATGTTTTTAAGTGGCAGGAGACCCGTGGAGCTGCTGATGAGCTGCTACCCACGTTCTCCATCCCTTTTCAACCTGTGCAGGAGTGACCCCCAGTATCTGCATCTCTGCCACTTGACAGAGTGACCCAGGCACCTCCCACCCCTGAAGGGTGGGCACTCAGTGGGAGGGCAGACTGATCTGTGGGGCAGCTGGTTGTGTCTGAAGAGTTCCACAAAGGCAGCAGAGCTGAGGGGGTGACCAACACCAGAGGGGGCATCAGCTGCTTCCTCCAGCCCTGCCAGTGCTGGGGGCACTTGCTGCGTGGCTGCTCCTGAGTGCTGGTGCTTTGCTGCTGGGAGGTAGTGCAGAGTAGACAGCTGTGTAACTGGAGGCTGACAGGTCTGTAGGTGGGCAGAGTGCTGAGCTGAGCAAGTATTTATTTCTATGCCTTTCCACCCGGAGTTGTTCTAGTTCCAGCTTTAGACCAGTCCATGGACCTGGTTGTTTGGTGGCTCGTACCAGTGTGTTGTGCTTGTGTTGTCCCTGCCAGGCTCAGGTTGGTGTCTCCCCATTGTCTTTGTGCTGGATAACTCTGTGCCCCCCTTTCCCACCCCCTGGGTCTGTCTCATTTGGGTGGCAGCAGGCATGTGGGGGGATCCATCCCTGTACCTGGCTCCCCTCCCTGCTGAAGCCCCATGGATGTACCTGTGAAACACCTGGTGAAGGATACCTGTTCCCTGGGGACCCTCCTGGAGCTTTGACCTAATACATGAACCACTGACTTGTTTGTCTACATCCATCTAAACAGCTTCTATGGTTAGTCTGGGAAACTGAACCAGTGTAATAAAGCAATGTTTGCTGGTGTGTTCTTTGGTACCAAGTGTGCAGGCTCCTAGTTTGTGTCTCTTGTCTCCTCACAAGTGGAACTGGAGGGCTGAGGAGCTTGGCCCGAGTTCCCCTGCCTGGAAAGGCTGTTGATGGGTCAGCACTGTCCCTGATGGCTGCTGGGCCTGAAGGTAATGAACTTGTCCAGGTGTTCAGAAGAGCCCTTGGTGCACTGGTGTGAGTGGGAAGTGCTCCTCGCAGTGCAGGCACAAGGAGATCTTTTCTCCCTGCAGTGCCCTGGGGCTGTGCACAATGAGCTGAGGGACAGGGCTTGGGGCTTCCTCTAGAGCCATGTCTGGGTTGTGGGTGGGCTCTGCTCCCTGCAGCCCTGCCTGTGACCACCTCGGAGGAGCACTCAGCAGCAGCCTCAGGAGAAGATGACAGGGCAGCTGATGAACCTCAATTAGTAACATTTGAGGAGGCATAAAATGAGACCATCCCCATGGAGATGAGAGGGAGCAGGTTCCCAGTCCCTACACATCTGCATCTGGCTGTGTTTCCTCAGCTCCCTGGCACAGAGCTGGGCTGGGGGCTGTGCCATCTGCAGGGAGGGACACCAGAGCTTGAAAAAGGGGCAGGGCAGGGAAGGTGGGTGAGTGTGCTCAGCTGCTGCTGCTGGGGGGACAGTTTCCTTGGAGTGGTTCCTCTGGTCTGGGGGGAGCTGGCAGGGGGTTGGCAGGCAGGGAGGTGCAGGGTTGGTGTCCCCCAAACCCACTGGTGGTGCAGCAGCTTCTCTGTTTGTATCACAGCTCCTCTGCTTCCCCCTCTTGACTTTTTGGCCCTTTTTTTTTGCTTTTGGCATCATCAGCCTCTGACAGGAGAATTCTGCTCCTTTTGTTGCTGCTGTTTGCCAGCTCGCTGGCCCTGCCTGGCTCAGGAGGGGCAGTTCCTCACCTGCTGAAGGAGCAGCAGGGGTTTCCTTCCAGCCAGGGGGCCTGGGGAGCTCGGGGGAGGCTCAGAGGGGTTGGTCACTCTCCTCAGAGGCACCTTCTTCCTTCCACTGCCCTGAGCAGGGATTTCAGCTGAGCAGCTGCTGGGCTGTCTGAGCATTTCCTGCCTCCTGCTCATCAGCCCCAAATGGTTTGTCCTTTACTTGGAGCATCTTTTGTTTTTAATGTGTTTTTTTTGGTGGTGGATGTTGGGGGTTGTTTTTTTTCCTAAAAGGCTGAGTTTTTAATCATTATTTTTCGACTCCAAAAGCCACAGAGAGCAGCTCTGGGTAGTGTTTCCTGCAGGAATTCAGAGTTGGGCAGGGGAAAATCATTCAGGTACATGCTTGTAGCTGAAGGAGCACGTGAAAACCCACCTGTTGTTAGATGCCAGGTGAGACCCACCACAGGTGAGTGGGGAAGAAAACCAGCGTGGGGAAGACGGTGTAACAGCTGGACACCAGATGTGCAGGTGGGCTGTATTTTGACCAAGAACAAGTACCTTTCCCTGCACAGTGGGCAAGCTGAGCGTGCCACCAGAAGCCACCTGAGGTACCTCTGCTGTGTCCCATGGTGGTACCACCCCCCGAGGGCCACCTGGGCCCCTCTTACCACCAGCTGGGCTGGTCGTGTGTCGGTCATGGGGGTCTGGGTGGTCAGTCTGCACCACTGAGGTGCTGTTAGTTCATTGTCCCGGGCCTGACCTCAGCACAGGGGTGATGACAAACTCGGCCCATCTGTTCCCAGTGTGGTGGTTGAGGGTGGTTGAGGGTTGAGGGTAGAGGGTTGGCATCCACGAGAGGCTGGAGGAGCTGTGGGAGCATCTCCCTGTGCTGGCCCTTCCCAGCCCAAGCTGGCACAGGAGCTGGAGAGCCCTGGAGCAGGGCAGCAGGGGAGGGGGAGCAACCCTGCTGCTGGTCCTGCTGTGTTTTCCTGGGGGTAAAGGTCCCCTGGAGTGCCCTGGGGGCACCTGGGGCTCTGCTCGCTTGGGGTCCTTGGGTTTCCTTTTGTTTTTGTGATCGTTGCATTTTCTCCAGCTGGGGCAAAGTGAGATCTCTGTCTGCTGGACATCCTGGGGGTCTGGCACTGAGCTGGGGTGGCTGAGAACACGGTTATGGAGCCAGGGTAAGACAAGGGAGGATCTCCCTCCCCACCACGAGTGCCCGTGGAGGAGAGGGCTGCCCAGTGCTCACCTGGGCACAGAAGGCACTGACCCTTTGGGCCCCCAAACCGCTGGAAGGGCTTTTGGGGTGAAGTCCTGAGCTTGTGGCACTTGGCAGGAGCTTCACCTTCTGCTGTGCCAAGGGAGAGGAGCCCTGCTGGGCTGGCTGGGTGAGTGGGCAGAGCCCTGCCGGGTGGGCTGGCTCAGGATGCCAGGCCCGGGCTCTGGGGCGC